TCTTTTGGGTAAAAATGGATTATTATGCATAATAAAGGTAGCTAAGCCTTGAATCTTTACTTAATAAGTATACAATTCTTAATCCAAAGTCAACACTGGACTAAATCTTGAAATATGACCCCGTTGGAAGATATAAGAATCGTATCACATACATAATGATTTGAATGTTGAGTTTTTCACATAGCTGACGCATTATGGCCTTACATATGATCCCGGTTTTCATGGGTGATCTAGAAAATTGCCCATCTAATTTTTATAGAAGCGGCCTCACTTTGACACCCATACAGGTGAAATTTGTCAAGAATACTCCCATAACTAAGATGCCCCACTCTATGAGCTACAAATTTCATTAAGAGTATATAACTCAACCCTCAATTTGTTATAGGATAGATGCATCCTCATGTTAGGAATGAGATTAGAAATTTTTCGTTAAATAATGATGCATCTTTCAACAACAATTTCTCTATTATTCGTTTTTCCCATTCAAAACCCAATTCTTAGAATTTGGGTTGGGTATCCTCATAGAAAGTTCTACACTATTGGGCTTGCATCCCATTCCCTTCAATGAGCACTAAACCTTGACTATGATCATAGTTTTTCCTCCAACTTTTGTTTTTACCAAAGGCCTAATTGGTGGTATAGTGGGTAAAAAGAGATTCAACTCATTCTTTTTCTCACTTTTTCATATCAACCCACATGTCTACTAGCTCATAAGATTCACATTCATATTTCTCAAGTTCTCAATTCATGGTACCATAGTTTTGATATCAAATCAAGTTAGTGAACCACCCTTTTCTTTCCATACATGTAGAGACATGTATTTAAGAAATTTTTTACTCAAACACCATTGTACCTTGTTGTACAATAGGAATGTCCATCACATACCCCTTTTCTCAAATGCCTTATTATTATTAGTTTTTATCATACACCATTATACCATAATTGTATAATAGGAATGCAAATCACATTTATTTTGCTAAGCACCATTAGATCTTATTATATAATAGGAGTGCATATCACATTTGTTTTGTTAAGCACCATTATACCTTATCGTGTAATAAGAATGCTATACAAAATTTCAGTGAGGCACCATTGGTCTCATCACCAATAATAATAAATAGGGATATGATAATAATCCCCACATTGGGAACATCTCAAATATGTGATTTTCACATTTCTCAAATAATTGAGTTCATGAAGAATCTCATTTACTCACAAAAGTTCATAAGAGCATATTAGCTCATCTCACATTTTATCACCACAAATGGCTCCTCGGTGACATAAGCTTAAAAATTTAACTTACGTTTTCGGAATATATCAATCCAAATTTCATGTCAATTTTTTCAAAATTATTGCATTGACCAAATTGGGTAACTCCCTTCTTTAGTCTTGTCACTTGGGTTCTCAAAATTTTCCATAAACCCATTTTTCATGGTTCCTAACTGAGTAACACAACACATCATTCACTAAAGATTTGTTAGAGAGCAAAAATAATCAACTAACAAAATATATGATTAGGAACAATATTTTACACATAATGGCATAACCAATGCACTTAGCATTTTACTAACTGTTGGAGTTAAATCACATTACTAGCATTGCATTGAAAACTAACAACTACATCATTTTAATGTGTCCATAATCATGCAATAACCAAGGGAAAGATTACATATAAATACATT